GATATCTCAATGTGGTTTTAATTTGCATTTCACGAATGGCTAGCGATGTGGAGCATTTTTTCATATATTTATTCGCTTCCTTAATTTCTTCCTCTGAGAAGTGTGTGTTGACTTCCATGTTTTAAGAAGATAAATTCAAGCGGGTGCCATTTCACTGAGAAAATTGCCTCATAGAAAACTAAGCAGACGCCGAGGCAGAGGCCCTTTAATCTCTAGGGAGATTTTTCAACTTAATTAGGCTTGAAGTTCTATGGAGGGCTTTCTGACTTCTCCAAATGAGAGTTTGCTTTGGAGGATAGATTGATACTTACTTAGAATGGCTTGAAAAGTTGTTCCTTGAATAAATCTGTGACTCAGAAGGACCCCCAAGTAGAGATGTTTACTCAGCAGACAAATAGGGAGGGTGGGGCTGAGGGGGATGGGAAAGAGGAGAAAGGGGAAAGGAGAGAGAGGAGAGGCAAGAGGGGAGAAGAGGAAAAGGGAGGCTTCTATTTCCTACACAGGCTGATATCCAGATTGTAAGCTGGGAAATGGAGCGTAGAGGACAGAGCAAGAAACTTCCTTTCAAGAGCAAAGGTTCAGCCCAGCTCTTATGTATAGTGACATTTTATAGAATTAAAGATTTCCCAGGCTGGAGGGAGCTTGGAAGATTCTCTTTATTCTGACTGCCATCTGCTGCTGAAATCGTCTTGATTTGAGAGGCAGGACTCACCTGCCCTGGGCTCTGAAGCAGTTGGTGCTGAGCTTGGACAGGTCCCCAAGCTCACAGGCAGTGGTCCCTTCAGGAGCTGAAGGCCAAGGCTGGGCTTTGCCTCTCAAGCTCTTGTTTGGGCCGGGCAGTTGGCTCTGTGGAATAAGTGCTTCCCTGGCAAGCGCAAGGTCCTGAATTCAATCCCTGGCTCCCCACCGCTAAAAAAAAAAAAAGCTCTTGTTTGGATCATGTGTTTTGGGCCCTGCTAAAGTCCCACTCTGAGGAGGTGCAGTTCTGAGCTCTATCTAGACCTGCCTGGGAGCGCTGGAATGCTGCACCTCAGGACTGGGTTGGGCAGATGGGAGGGTGTGGTGAGGACCAGTGATCAGCCTCCGGAGGTGAGGAACAGAGGAGAGACAAAGCCTTGGGAGGAGTGTAAGTGTGGGACAAGGATTTAGCACAGGAAACGCAGCATCTGCAATGAAAATCCCTACAAATTAGGGCAGCAGGAGAGATGAGAGCTCAGAGAAGGGCCAGGAGCCACTTGGGGGCCATCAGGGAACTACAAAAGAGACTCAGGCAGGGTCAGGGTGAGCACACTGGTGCTGGCAGGTTTGGCACCGGGCAGTTGGTGCAAAAGACCTTAGGCTGCAGCAGTGAGGTTTTTCTCAGACCAGTTTTTTGGGTGGAGTGAAGAAGCTGGCCAGGGTGGCTGCTCAAGTGTGGGCATAAGGGCACAGGCAGCAAGTCAGTCACAGTGTATGGCAGAGAAGATAAGCTGGGATCCGAGTGGAAGGAAGGTGTCTGTGGCGGAAAGAAGGGAGGGGAATGAGAAAATACTGAAAGCCAGGGGCTCCTCCAACCCCAGACACACCTCTGATCTAGATAGCATTAGCAGGGCCGGATTAATATGCCTGCAAGCAGGCACAGGGGCCAGGGGCTCAATCCCCGGGCCTGCCATGCAGGCCCCACCATCAGGGCCTGCTGAGATAGCAGTTAAGACGGCGTGGTGGCGCATACCTGTAATCCCAGCTCTTCGGAGGCTGTAAACAGGAGGATCACTATGAGTCTGATCTAGTAGTGAGATCATGAACATCCTGTAGACCCTTCCCTAAAATACAGAAAAATAAAATAGATAGCATTAGCTCAAGATTGCAGCCGTCCTTGTGGTCCACACATGCCCAGAGCTCTTCCACCACTTCTGCTACACTTCTACTAATTTCCCATGGTCACTGCATATGTGTCTCCTCTCACTGTTAACTCACATCAACATGGAAGCAAATCAGAGCCCTTGTACAGTTGTTGCATCCATGGATGTGCAAACACACATGCATGTACACAGGCATTCCACATGCGTGCGCGCCCACACTCAAATTCCACCCAAGATCTCAGAGTTCCTGAGCACTCGCCCCAGCTGTGCGGGGCTCTGCTGAGATCATCTTGAAATGGTGCAGACTCCCAGAACCTGCTTCTCTTCTTTCTTTTTCTCTTTGCTTCCCTAACAGCTTCCTGAATTCTGTTCCTGGTTTCTAATTCCCACTCTCCCCCGGGTGCCAGATCATACCCCTTGTTCACAGTGGGCAGCTTCTCGTTTTCCTCTGAAGGCACAGTGACAGCTCAGACCTCAGTCTGGGAGACTGCGATGGGGAAGCAGCTTGTGCCTAAGCTTGTGTAAGGAAACCTATTAGGGTTTCCTGTAGACATAGGCCTTGTTCCCATGTGCAGATTCCTCCTGGAAAGGTGACAAGGGTAGGCCTAGAGGTTTCTTTTTCCTCTTCCAAGTACACATAAAGGCAGAGTAAATGAGAAATTGTGCTTTTAGAGAACAAGTCTGGGTTGCAGAAGATTCTAGAATGTAGAACCTCAATCTAAAGGGAAGTGTGTGTGTGTGTGTGTGTGTGTGTGTGTGTGTGCGGCCAAATCTTATGTCCACAGAGATTGCAGGTCTAGGATGGCAAGTCTTTTATGCTCCCACCATTAACATTATTCAGTCTGATTGTCCCACTGCCAACGCTGGGGTCCCGTGTTGGTCAGTCAGAGTTCTGCTCTGACAGGGGACAGATTTGTACTCACCCTCCTGGTCATAGCCTGCAGGGTTTTTGACTTAGGTCTTAAGCTCAGGTATCTCTTTGGGCCTTCCTGCCTGGAACAGTCCATGTCTCCCCCAGAGGATTTCTCCCTGAGCTTCAGGCGGGAAGCAGGAGATGGGTCTGTCTACATTGAGATCTGGGGTTCACCTTGTGTTTTCCAGGTTGTTTGTCTCTGAAGGGACCTGGGTACGTGAATGGCGTGGAGGGGACCACTCTGAGTGTGAAGTGTCGGTATGATCAGGGATACAGAGGGTATGCAAAATACTGGTGCCAGGGAGAGGATGACATCAACTGTAAAAGTATTGTGGGGACCGATGGAGGAGAAAGAGTAAGGTGGAACGGCCGTGTGTCCATCAAAGACCATACAGACGACTTCACTATGACAGTCACCATATATGATCTCCGACAATACGATGCTGGAATTTACTGGTGCAAAATTCAGACAGTGTTTATCTGGGACTCGTGGTCACGTGACCCTTCGGAGCAGGTGAAGGTGTATGTTACCAAAGGTAAGAACTCCCATAGCTCCAGCAGCAGAACTTATGGGACCAATGGAACATGGGGACAATGAGCTGGGAACACTGAGGTTCTGTACTGAAACATGCCTGAGTCTTGTCTTCAGTCTCAGTGGTGCTGGGAGGAGTCCAGGGTGTGGGTGGCAGGAAGAGGTGGTGGATCCCTTAGCCGGTGTAGGCTAGAGTTGGGGGTATAGGTTACAGCAATAGTTTGGCACCTGCTGTTCTTGGGAGAAGCCAAGGAATAACCCGTCAACCTCACCAGTGTTGGGTTAAAGTACCCTTAACAGTCTTCTTCTGAAGGGGTTCAGCACCCCTCTCCTGGTCACTGGCAGGATCCTGGAGCCATAGGCTGAGTTATCTTCTTCCACAATCTCTCTCTGGGGCTCCTTGTCAGGTGGGGGACTCCATGGGAAACCTCTACCCTCTCCCAGGCAGTACCAGATTGGGATAGAAAGACCTTAAGTTTCTTAAAGGTCACTCATGACGGTTATGCTAAAGACTCCTTTGGTCCCCAAGGGGCTCTTCCCAGGAGGCGGCCTGAGTGTGGCTTGAGAGAACCTCTGAAGTCCTCTGTGAGAGGCTGAATCCGTGCAATATCGGATCAAGCAGATGCTTAGCACACAGTGCGGGCAGAGCAGAGGCTGACACGTGACCTTGTCTCCCACAGCAACAACTACCACCCCACTTCCACTCACCACTCCCATCTTGCCACTGGTGCTCACCGGGCAGAACATCAGCACCGAGATGTCAACCCTCTACTCATGGTGAGGGTCCAGGGCTTGGAGACAGAGGGAGGGAATCTGCAGTCTGTGGGACCCTGGGTAAGGACTAGGACTCCTGACACAATATGTCTGGGAAACCTTCCTGTGCTATTCTTTTTCCTTTTCCTCCAACTCTGGTCTTAACATTCTCTGAAGCTACATAGGGTGCTGAGGAAGGGTGGCTTCAGGGTCACAGGCTGGCGGCTAAAGGCTGGGTTCCATGAGGGCATTGCCCTTCTCCCCTTCCCAATCCAGTCCTCTCCTTGTCCATCCAATTCCGGACTCATGGTCCTAATTCTGGGGCCCCTTTCAAAGATCTTTACTCAGCTGGGGCTCTTGTTGCAGTTCTTTGCGAGGCTTGGGGTGGGGGATGCTGTGGCGACAGGCTGGCTCCTGGCTGGAGTTTGGATCTTTTCTCCTTCCTCATCTGATGTTTCAGTCAGACCCTGAGGGGAGGGTAATGAGGGACAAGGACTTCAGAGTGGTTTCAAAGAGTCCTTGCTAGAAAGGACAGAGTGGGCGGCTCTGGACCTTGCTTCTGAAAGCTAGGGCTATTGGGATCCTCTTCTCTCTCCACTCCACCTCCTCTCTTTAATGAGGCTCCCATGGTCACTATTTTCCAGAGGAAGAAGGGTGATGGGGCCAGAGAAAGGGGCTCCACTGGATGCTTTACTGGTTTGATTCAGTGTTATTCAGGCTTTAGAGTCAGGGCATGGGGTGGAGGTGGGGAGTTCTGGACCGTCTTTTTGAGGAGACAATTCATGTTCTGTCCCCGTGTGCTCCACAGGTCTCTGCTCAGCAGCCTCCACTTTCTGCTCCTGGTCTTCCTGAAGCTGCCCCTATTTCTGAGCATGCTCTGTGCTGTCTTCTGGGTGAACAGACCTCAGAGGGCTGTTGGGGAACCATAGAGCCAGCCTGTAGAGAGGTCCTGCGGTGTACCGCCCTCGGAGTGCCCTGTGCCCAGATGCGGCCCTTCAGACTGGACCTGAGAGATCTTTGGTGCTGGAGCACCTGGAAGGGAGGCAGCACAGACTGGTTCTGGAGGGCCTTCTTGTTTCTGTGCCTCAAAAGAGGCTCCTGGATCCTAGAAGACACTCCTCTGGTGTCCTCAGCTCCTGGATCCTAGAAAACACTCCTCTGGTGGCCTCAACATGGAAAAAGGAATAAGGTTTCCTGGCCCAGGCCTGGGGTTCCTTTCTCCTTCCCAGGCTCCCTGGCTCTCTGTCCTCATGCCCACCCTGCTGGGGGAAAGAAAAAAGTCTCTGAAGAATAAAAAATAACCACGTGCTCACGAGCATGCGCCATTGATCTTCCCCTAGACACAAGAGCCTCTCAGGCCAGTGTCTTCTGGGCCAGTCTTCAACGCCTTCCTTTGCGTCAGACTCAGGTGTTGTGTCCTGGAGACCATAGGGAACCTCTGGATGTTTTACACTTTTCCAACTTTTACGTTGAGATAGTTAAGAGCTTAACACTGTGTGTAGAGTACACGGAGCCCTGAGATGCATTCTCCAGCTTCCTCCCTGGTGACATGTTGTGTAGCTGCTGTGTAATGTTGAACTAGGGAGTAGGCATGGGGACCATACCGTTGGCTAGACCATGACTGCTAGGGTTTGGACCTTAGGTGTTCTCCAAAAACTCATCTGTTGAAGGCTTGGTTCAGAGGTAGAGACTTGGGGAGGTGACTGGGATCACCAAAGGTCCTGATTTGAACACTGATGAGTCCCCTTATGGATTCTTGGGGAGGGAGCTTTGTGATAAAACTGAGCTTCTTGCTAATTCCCCATTGCCATGAGGGGAGCAGCTTCCCTGGCCTTACACTTCCGTGGGGAGGAACTACCTACCTCAGGTAGGAACTACCTACCTTAATGGCCCAGTGACCATGGCCTGAAACTCTGGGAACGTAAGCCAGAGTAAGCCATCCCTCTTTCAGTTGGTTTCTCTCAGGCATGTTGACATCGAGATGAAAATCTAACTAATACACACAGATCTCTTTTAGTTTGCAGTTTGTGTACGCGTTCACTTACATGCATCTGCGTGGAGCTCTGTGCCGTTTCATCTCACAGTAGAATATCGAGCTGTCCTAGCATCATAAGGACCTCCCTCTTGTGGCTTCTTCCATTCTGCCCCTCCCATCCCATTCCTGTCTCCTGGAAGCCAGTGCTAATGTATTTGCCATGCCCAGTTTTGTCATTTTGAGAGTATCATAAAAATGGAAGCATGATATATAATATTTAGAATCTGGCTCTCTTCACTAAGCCTTTGAGAGCTATACAAGCTGTTGCACTGACTATTTCATCTTTATTACTGAGTAATATTCTATTGTCTGAATATATGATAATTTAACCATTTGTCCATTGAAGAGTATTTGAGCTTTCCCCCTCAGCATATATCATTATGAATAAAGTCACTATAAGCATTCGTGCACAAGTTTCGTGGTGTGTATATACGTTTTTATTTCCCCGGGGTTTATTCCATTACATTTTCTGGGTCATATACTGAGTGTTATGGTTTGTGTCTAGTTGTCCCCCCAAAGCCTCATGCAGTCATGGGGCAGCTTCTAGAGTTTCATGATTAACTCATGATCCAATGCTGGCATTATGGGTGTGAGTGTTGCAGCCATCCTGGGGTAGATAGCCTGAACGCAATATCAAGAAGGGAGAAAGCCTTGCTGGCTGCCATTCTTTGCTCTTCCCTTTGCTCTTTAGCTGTTTTTTGCTGCCATGAATGGCTGCCCTCCGCCATGTGCCACTCTGTTTTCGAGCCAGCTGAGTATGGACCGAAACCTCCACTAACTGTAAGCTAAATAAACTTTTCCTTTCTTCATTTTGGGTGCTGAGTATTTCGTCCCAGCAACAAGAGAAAAGTAACTGAGACACTGAGTATATATTTAGTTTCATATGAAGCTGTCAGACTACTTCCACAGTGGCTGTTGTGTCTTCTGTTTCCATCAGCAGTGTATGAGAGGTCTGTTTTCTTTCCATTTTTACTAGCATTCAGTATTATCTTTTTTTTTTTTTTTTTTCTTTTCACTTTGGATGTTCTGTTAGGTATGTGGTGATAGCCCAATGTGGTTTTATTTATTTTTTTCCCCAATGTGGTTTTAATTGAAGTTTCTCTAGTGGCCAATGATGTTGGACATCTTTAAGCATGCTTATTTATTTATTTATTTATTTATTTATTTATTTATTTATTTTTGTGGTACTGGGGATTGAACTCGGGGCCTTGCGCTTGCCAGGCAAGTGCTTATTCTACTGCGCCATCTCCCAGGCCCAAGTATGTTTATTTTCTAGCTGGACATCTTTATGTATTTTATCCACTTTCTAATTGAGGTGGGTTTTTTTTTTTTTTGCTATTGAGTTTTGAGAGGTTCTATATTTCACAGATACCAGTCTTTTGTCAATGTTTTACTTCTGTCTGTGGCTTGTCTTATATCCTCCTCATAGGACTTTTCATAGTGCAAAAATTTATAGTTTGGTAAAATACAATTAGCTAATTTTGTCATTCTAATCATTGTGTTTTTGGCATCATGCTTAAGAACTCTTCACCTGACCTCAGGTGATTGATTTTTTTTTTTTTTTCCTAGTATTGGGGATCGAACTCAGGACCTTTTGCTTGCCAGGCAGGTGCTTACACCACTGAGCTGTATCCCCAGCCCTAAAATGGCAGAAGGATTTTTTTTTGCTGGCTCTGAATGCCTTCAGGGCAGGTTTGGCTGGCTTGAGTTGTGGGGATTGAACCACAGCAACCTGAGCCTGACTGCTTTGTTGAAACAGCTGCTTAAAGAACTGAGCTAAGGCGCAGGCCCCAGGATGCCTGATGTTCATTCCTATTTATTTTCCTAAAGCTTTCATCATCTCTATGCTTTATATTTGAATTCATGAATCATGATCTTGTTTGCATTGCTTCTTCTCTATGGTACGCAGTTTAGTTAAAGATTTTAGGCAGGACTTTGCTGTTTTAGATTTGTGGAGGCTCCATGGGTTCAACAACACTTGTCAGAAAAGCCTATACTTCTTTCATTTAATTGCTTTTGGTCCTTTGTCAAGAACCAGTTGGGCATATTTGTGTTGGAAGATGTGTGCAGTGTGTGTGTGTGTGTGTGTGTGTGTGTGTGTGTGTAAAACATTATTTATTTCTTGACTTTTTATAAGGATCTTATGCAGGATTGAAAATTAATGAAGTGTACTGTCATGCAACAGTAAAATTAAATCTCGTAATTGTAAGATATGTAAGACACAAAGTATATACATAAAGGATGACATTTATATAAATTAAAATGAAAAAAAATTAAAATGGCAAAACTAACACCTGGTGAAATATATAGAGATGGTCAAAACAAAATAAAAGACCAAGACAAAAGAGAAAAGTTCCCTCTGAAGGCAGGAAGAAGATGGATATGAAAAGCATCATACCTTTAAACTATACACATATTTTATACACTCTTGAATGTTTACTTCATTATATTAAAAACTCCGACTAAAATTATAATAATATGACATTTTCTTCAAACCTAATTTTTCTTTTGTTCTTTTTTTATATTAATTTTGTTGAGAAACAGATAGCAATGAAACAGTCCAAAACAGGTCAGTAGGACAGTTACAATAATTAATGCATTGAATATTGTTGTCTTCTTAGTGGTTATTCATAGTACAAGATGAAGGCGTGATATCCTGTCCAAACACTATTAGCACAAATTTTTCTTCTCATTGAATTAAGAGAAAGTAGCTGTATGTCTATCCTACTTTGTATGTACAGATACAAAATAGTCCTTCATTTACATCCACTTTTTTTGTTTAGTGTTGTCAGAGATGGGCATTCCATTGCCATTTAAATATTGTAGGTGCATGTATTTAGCAAAATATTCCAATATACTCCAGTAGTCCATAATAGTAGTGGGTTATCTGTAGGACTGGCAATGTCAGAAGTTTTTGACTTGAGCCTTTTACAGCTTAGCAAATTAATATGGCTTCACTTTTTAAAAAAAATTT